CATGCCACCACACCCAGTCTCATTAACTGTTAATTAAAATAAAACTTTAGTGCTATATTTTATCAAGAATTAGCTGGGGGCTGTGGTAGAGCACTTGCCTAGCATGTGCAAAGCCTTGGGTTAGATGACCAGCACTGGAAGAAAACAAAACCAAACAAATAAACAAATGCCAGGCATGGTGGAACGCATTTGTAATCCCAGCACTGGGGAGGCTGAGTCAAGAAGAATTTTGGTTTGGGACCGACCTGGGCTACATAGTGAGACCCCGTCTCAAAATATGGAAGGAAAAGAAAGAAAGAAACATTTCTCCACTGTCTCCCTCTCTGAACCAAACAAGATAATTGGCAATTTCTATTTTCTCTGCCTCACCAGGGTTTATTGAAATAGTCTAGAATTTCATTTCCAGATAATAAGTTTTCTTCTTTAAACATATGTCTTATCTGCTTCAGAAATCCTTTTCAAACAATTGCATTTGGCTCGACAGCCACTTCCTTAAAACTATCACTTAGAGTTGATGAATCTGTTTTGCTCATTTTGAGCCACTGTTTTCTTGGGAATAGATCTTCCTTCATCTCAAGTCCTTGAATCTTTGACTGCAATTAAAAACTTGGGTTTAGAATATAATCCTAACTGTACTATTTACCTGCTGTGTAATCTGGAAAATTCCTTAACCTCCTGGTGCCTCAATTACCTCATTTAATAAAGGGATAGAGCTGTTGGGTTTCAGTGGAATAAGGCAATGAATCAATGCGTGGGAAAGTGAAGGATGTGGGTTTCCTCCCTCTTGTCTCTCAAGAAGCTCTCAATAGCAAACCCCCGCTCCTGCCCCATTATCCACTTCTCCCTCTGTGCTGGCACACTTCCCTTAGCCTGCAAACCTGCTCTAGTCTTTCCTGTATTAAGAAAAAACCTTGCCACTGCTGTGCTCTCTTCTGTCTCTTGCCTCCCCCTCTCCTTTCACAGCCAGGCTTCTAGAGACAGTATAGCACATGCCATGTCTATACCCCTTACTTGGCCATGCTGGCATCTGGCTTCCTGCCAACCCTGCTACCCAACATGCCCTTAGTAAAGGTCATTCATGAACACCATTTCTTAAGCAATGTGTGGGTGGCATGATAGGGGCCAGGGACAGGATGACCTTGGGGAGTCCTGTCCACTGGGGGCACCCTCAGATTTGAAACAAACACCCTGCCTGCAGCAAACATCTAACAAATGTGTGTCCCCTGGAGGACTGTGCAATGGGAAAGAACACTTGAGAAATGCCTGGGAGGCCTCCCAGAGGAGATGCTGGCCACAACAATGTCTGTAAGTGCAAGTATGCATGGCAGGGGGAAGCACTCCAGACAAGGAGGCCCACGTGGAGAAAGGTCAGGAGGTAGGAGGCCATAGAGAATTCTGGAAGCCTCAAGAGGGGGGCATGTGGGTTTGTGAAGTGGGGTACAGGAGAGGGCTCACAACTAGCTACACAATCACTGGTCTTCCAATCCAGGCCCTGCTGACTTCTTGTAGCCTTTCCTTGACTTCCACACATGGAGCCTCCATATCCTCCTACTTTTCTGGTCTCTTGCTCAAATTCCCCTCAAGGCCTCTCTCCTCCCCACCTATAGACTGTGGTTCCCTCCATTTGGAGCTTTCTACTTGCCCCAGGTACGTTCATCTCCTCCCCAGCATATCCTGCCTCCTGCTGCAATCTGGAACTGTTCTCATGTGGCCCAGAACCCACCCTCAGGTTTTCCTGCATGTGCTTCTGTGCCTCCTTCCCGCTTCATCTCCATCCAGCACACAGCCTCTGCATCCTTCTTGGCACTCAACTTCCAGGCTGACTAACTCCCTTTGAGAACCCCCTCCAACCTCAGCATTCACATCCAGAATTCTGCCTGCTAGGATCTCCTGCTCTCCCCACTTACTTTGCTTAGGTAGTGTTTCCAAACTGTGTTGCCAGAACTCCGTCCGTCTATAATTCTATATTCAAAGGTTTGCAGATTCTCAGATGCTCCCTGTTAGGCTGAAAAATTCTCCTTATGTCTAACTTAAATCCCTTCCCCTGCCTGGTAGGGAAATTGAGCCTGAGAATGGACTGCCTCCCTCTCCCACCCTGGGCTCCAGTTGGAGATGCTATGTTTACCCCTGGGTCATTTGACCTCAAGAAAGCATCCTGCTATCAGGCAGTTCATCCCTGTTTTCTGCCTATGTGGTACCTACTGATCTTTGGATCTTTCCTGGGATCTTATGCTTTGGTTCAGCCCTAAAATATACTGGGACTGTGACTCCCATTACATAGGCAGGTGTGGCAGTGCTATCTCATGCCCAGGGGAATTGCAGAGCTTCTGTGTGACCCAGTGATCAGCTTGGAAGCAGCTCTCTTAGCCAGTTGCAGCAGATGAGCCTGGCCCTGTGGAGTTAACCATTTTCTGCTAGTTGAAGCAGAAGAAGGATGGCAGAAAGCCTCAGGATCCAGTGAGGAGCTAAGCACAATACCTGGTCAAGGAATCTTGGGATCACCCTTCTCTGTGTGCTCAGCCTCTGTCCAGCTCTTGGGAGAGGGCCTCATGGGCTAGTTTGGTCTGGCAGCCACTTAAGCAGAGAAGCAAGGCCTGATGGTGGCACACTTTTATTATTTATTTATTATTTAAAACATTGGGCCAGGAGCCTGTGGCTCACACCTGTAATCTTACTAGCTACTCAGGAGGCAGAGGTCAGGAGGATGATGGTTAAAACCAGCCCATGTATATAGTTTGTGAGACCCTATCTCAAAAACAAAACAACAACAACAACAAAAAACCTTCACACAAAAGGGCTGGTGGAGTCGCTCAAGGTGTAGGCCCTGAGTTCAGATCCCAGTACCATAATAAATAAATATTGGGAAACAAGCAGGGGCCAGTGGCTCACTCTTGTAATCTTAGCTACTCAGGAGGCAGAGATCAGGAGGATTGTGGTTGGAGGTCAATGCTAGTCAAATAGTTTGTGAGACCCTATCTTGAAAAAACTCACACAAAGCAGGGCTGGCAGAGTGGCTCAGGTAGTAAGTAGAGTGCCTGTCTAGCAAGTGTGAAGCCCTGAGTTCAAACTACAGCACTGTCATAAAAGAAAATTGGGAAACAAGGGGCTGGAATTCAGTGGTAGAGCATTTCCCTAAGTTGTGTGAGGTCCTGGGTTTGATCCCTGGCAGCACACACACAAATTAGGAAAGAACTCTCATAATATGAGAGTTCATAATATGAATACACTTTTTTTTTTTTTGCAGACTGGGGTTTGAACTCAAGATTTTGTACTTGTGAGGCAGTCACTATTCCTGTTGAGTCAGCCTCCAGACTGCTGAAATACCTTTTTAAAGCGTACAGTTCAGCCCTTTTTAATGTACTGTACAAGGCTGTGCCACTATCACCACTACTATCTTATTCCAGAATGTGCTTATCACCCCCAAAAGAAAGCCATCAGTGGTCATTCTCTGCTCCTCCTCTCCCCAGTCCCAGGGGCCACTGATCAGCTGGATGTCTTTATGGATTTGCCTGGTTTTTTTTGGTAGGACTGGGGTTTGAACTCAGGGTTTATTCACGACGCAGGCGCTCTACTGCTTGAGCCACACTTCCAATCTATTTTGTTCTGGCTATTTTAGAGGTGGGGTCTGGTAAACTACTTGCCTAGCTGGTCTTGAACTGCGACCCTCCTGTTCTCAGCCTCCCAAGTAGCTAGGATTACAGGCATGAGCCACTAAAGTCCGGCTGTCTGTTTTGGATACGGCCCATAAAGGGAATCATGCAATGTGTGTGTGTGTGTGTGTGTGTGTGTGTGTCTGGCTTCTACCGTGTTTTCAAGGTTTGGAATCTTCTCTAACGTGCGATTTTTTTTCTTTTTTCTTTTTTGGGTACTGGGGATCTAACTCAGGGTCTTGGTAGACGTGCATTAATTTTGAAATTAACTCTTGTATACCTAGGAGCAAAAGCCCGCTCGCTGGAGTGCTTTGCAGTAGCGGGAGTCAGGGTGCAGTGCGGGACCTGAACCCAGCAGCGCGGCAGCTGGGGGGCCGACTGCACTGGGTCCATCGGACAGGGCTTCACCCGTGCCAGGCGTGTCCCACCGTGAGCATCGCCTCGGTGCCTCCGCGTCTTCCTCCGGGACAACTCTGGCGGATCGCCAGGAGATGATGCAGTCTGTTATTTACTGAGCACCTACTGTGTGTCTGGCGCTAGGGTACCGAGGAGATTCAGAGGGACAGAAGCCTCAGGGAGTGGAAGCGGGCGCATATCGGGTGCTCAGAGACCGCAGACCACGATAGTTATTATTGCCGATGTTTTTAATGCTGTGATTGTTGACTGGAGAAGGCTGGGCGCCGAGAAACCAGCGGGTACACCTGGCGGCCACCCCAGCTCTAGGGACCGGCGTCCCGTGCAGAGGACCAGCACAGGCGGAGCCTCCCGCCAGACTCCCGCTGTCTGGCTCCGCCCATCGGCCTTAACTCGCGCTGGGCGCAGCGCCAATGCGGCCCCTGCAGTGCGATGGGCGGAACCTCTCGATGCCCCGCCCCCTCTGCGACGCGGAGGGCGAAGCCGGCAACCGTGGCTGCCCCGAGGCCCACGCTACCGCAAGGGACGAATTCTGCTCCTCCCTCCGGCCCCGCGCCGCAGCTGACACTGCAGAGCAGGAGGCGGAGTCTGCGGAGTCCGCAGACGCGGCCGCATAGGAGAGGAGGCCGCCCCTCCCTCTGGCCCCACCCATAGTCGACACGGCAGCGCGGGGGCGGAACCTGAGGAAGCCCCGCCCCGCTTCGCGCCGCGCCGGGAGGGGGAGGAGCCTACGCGGGGGCCGCAGTGCAGCGCGAGTGCTCGAGGGAGCGCGGCCTGGCCCGGAGAGCCGAGGGAGAGGGTGTCGCGCCGCAGACGAGCCCCAGGCACCGCCAGCTTCAATCCCGCGCTGCGCCATGCCGTCCGCGGGCCCCTCCTGAGTCGCGGCCGCGCGGGCGGGCCTCGGGCCGCCGGGGCCATGCGCGCGCTGTGCTGACGATGCCGCCCGGCGCGCCCGCCCGCCTGGCTCTGGCCCTGGGCCTGGGCCTGTGGCTCGGGGCTCTGGCGGGGGGCTCCGGGCACGGCTGCGGGCCGTGCGCGCCCCCCTGCCTTTGCGGCCCGGCGCCAGGCACCGCCTGCCGCGTTAACTGCTCGGGCCGCGGGCTGCGGACACTCGGGCCCGCGCTGCGCATCCCCGCGGACACCACCGCGCTGTGAGTAGCGGCGCTACCGCGGTGCGGGCGGGCGGGCGTGGGCGCGGTCCTGGGCTCGGGCAGCAAAGACGCAGCGGGGCCAAGCCGCTCCCAGGGCGAGGCTCCAGCAGGGATGTCAGCCGGACTAAATAAGGAAAACCTGGAGTCGCAGTCGGCGTGGTCCAGGGGCAAGCCAAAAATCCCTGTTTCTGTAAAAACAGACGTCAGTCTTGCTGACGGCCTGCGAATGCATTTGGGGCGGGAAGGTCGCGGTAGGTCGAGAAAAGAAACACACGCTAATTAGAGACTCATTAGAGACTAATTGGATTGCGGCCTGGGGCTGGGGGATTTCTGTGGAGCCCACAGGGCCGGCCTCCCTGGGAGGGTTCTGGACAAGGATCTGTCTGATGGATGTGTAAGAATTGGGTTAAGAAGGGGCAGGAAGATGGGTCCAGAGGAAAAGGAGAAGGGAATGGCCTGGATGCTGGATTTGGTCATGTGTGGCAACTGCAGGGGACACCTGAGGAGGTAGGGGTAGGTTGAGGTCTTGAAGGACATTAGATGCTCTGTTGCCCCGTTATCCTGGGAACAGTGGGACAGGGATTGCCAGGGGGGTTAAAACGCTGAAGAGTCCTTACCAGGTTTGCATTCTGGAATTAACAGTATCAGGCAGCTTTTTCTGAGAGGTTGCCTTGAGCTAGGCCTACGCCTAACACATTTAATCCTTACCTTAACACCTTGAGGGGTAGATACAGCCAAGACCCCCATTTTACTGGAGGAAGCAGGCTTGGAGATGTGATGATCAAATTTGTTTGATATGCCAAACAGAAGACACGACCAATCAGGCCCAGGACCCAGGATTGGATTGAGAATGGTATAGAGGATGGGATTGCAGACATTTCAGGGCTGGATTTTCCTAGACACTTCCAAGCACCTCAGTCCCCAGAAGGCCCTGCTGGAATCCCTTGGGGAGCATGTTATGTGCTCCCTCCCCCGAGCCTGGTATGGGTCCAGGCATTTCAGTTTTGTAATGCTCTTGGGTGACCCCCGTGTGAGGCCACTTTTAAAAGGGAGCCCTGTGTCTTTAGGGTTTTGCTCAGTGATCTTGAGGGTGGGAGGAGAGCAAGTTCTTCAGGGCTAGCTGGGAGCTGTGGTTGGGGCTCTTGCTAGGCCTGTCATTGTGCTCCTTGACCACTGGAACATTTGCAGTGCTACTGTTTCTGTGGAGATGGCCCCCTCCTGCCTGCCAGCAGGGCCCACAGAATTGCGTCAAATTCATGCCACCCTTTGTTTCTGGATGCTGTGAGTGAGGGTACCTCTGTCTCTGCTGGCTGGCTGGCCGTTCTGGGGGTCATACCCGGCTCCCACTGGTTCCCGCTTTCCCAGTCCCTGTCACATACCTGCCAGCCTCTCCAGGAGCTCTGAAGAATGAGGGCTTGCAGCACAGCAGTGGAGCCTGAGATGTTGCTTTGGTGCATCCTGTACGCTCTGGTACTGGGTTTTCTGGGATTTGGTGGCCTGGCCCAGCCTCAGCTGGCAGGATTCCCAGGGTGCTAGCCCCGCTTTTTGGGTAATGGAACATTAGAGTGACCTCAGGTAGGCAGGTGGGTGAGGAATGGAGGAGACTCTACGTTCTTTCCACCCCTAAAGCTGCTATTGAGAAATTTCCAGAGGGCTGGGATCGGGGGTTGGGGGTGCATGGGATGCAAATGAAACTTGGGCAGGTGTTGAGATTCCTGCAGAGTCAACTCTGCAGACTGCCAGAGAAATAGATGGGTCTTTGATGAGGAAGAAGAGTGAATGTCCCTGGCAGAGGCCAGGGACATTCACTTAGGTGTACTTAGGTGTCCCAGGAGCGTTGCCTTCTCAACTGTCAGTAGTAGCCTCTCTGGGGGCTCAGGTTCCTCCATTTGTGGCTCCTCTGCTAACCTGAGGTAAGGCAGGACAGTTCTGTCTGTGTGGGAAGATGGTCCTGACTTCTGAGATCACAGCCTTCCAGCTGTGCTTGGGTTAAAATGACGCTTCTGGGATGTGGCAGCTTGAAAAAGATGACGTTACTGGCAAAACGTTGCTCCTTTGCTATTTTTAAAGCTTTGCTATGGAGGAAAGTAGGAAGGACAGGGTGATGAATCTCATGCCCTCCTTGTTCCTCTTATCCCTGCTTTAGGTTTTGAGCCAAATTCCAGCATTCTGAACTTTCATCTGTGAGCATTTGGAGTGTATTACAACACCTAAAACATGGAATGATTTTTCAGTCCCATTAAATGTCTAGCATGTTCACACATTTTTTTCTTGTTTTGTCTGTGTTGTATGTTGTGTCCGTGTCCCCTCCCCCACCTCCAGCAACACACATATTCTGGGATTTGATCTCAGGTTATCAGGCTTGTTGGGCAGGCACTCGACCACTTGATCTAGGCCCCTAGACTTTCAGTTTTGTAAAAGATAGTTTGAATTATGGTCCAGATGAGGTTTGCACATTGCAGTTAGTTGGTTTCTTAAATCTCTGTGGATGGTTAGGCTTCTCCTCCACCTTGTCTTCCTGTCATTTGTTGAAGAAACCAGCTTCTGCAGCCCTGGGTTCCTGATTGTCTCTTGAGCTGTCACCATGATGCTGTTGAAGTCTTTGTCCTCTGCATCTCTTGCAAGTTGGTAGTTGGATCTAGAGCTCTGTTGTCTGGAGGGCCACACCTCAGGTTCTCTGGAGCCTCTCATAGCCAGTGACTACAAGATGTAAAAATTCCATCACTGAACAAAGCTCTGCTGGATGGTGCTGCTCTAGGGTGTGAGCTATTGATTGGCTTCAGATTTGGTTGCTTTTGGGAGAGTACTTCCTGTGTGACGTGTGTTGCTAATTTTGGCCAGGGGCTTACCTGGGCCTGTCTGATGAATGTTTTGGCATATACCAGGAACTCAGTAGGTGGTTGGTTCACTGATGTAAAATTTTGGGGCTGTAAGATTTATTGGGAGCACCCAAGACCTTGCCCTTTCCTGCAGGGGAGAGTTGGGGTAGGAGGCTCAGCCGCTGGTGTCTGTGGCCAGGTCTGGAAAGGTGGGCATGTGTGAGCAGACTCCTGGGTTTGGCATGGACCTAACGTGTTAAGACTGCACCTGTCAGGTGTGTTGCTGCCTTGTGGGCAGCAGAAGGTTCCGAGGTCCTGTTTCTAATCCCTGAGGCCCGAGACCCAGGACTGGGCATCTCACTGAGGCCTGAGGCAGTTCTACCCCAGTCCTCACCAGAGGCTGCTATGTGCCCTGCTTGAAGCCAGGAGTTGGTGAGACCACTACCGGGCACAGGCGTGGCTGTTCTGGGGCTCAGGTGTCACAGGAGAGCCATATTAAACCAACAGGTGTGTGGATATTAGAAGGACCTATTAGAAATGACATCAAAGCCAAGATTCAAAGCTTGTGCAAGAGCCACCCAGGGGCTGGGAGAATGTTCTAGATAAGGGAACAGCCTTATGGAGTCCCTGAGGTGTGAGGTGATGGAGTAGGAGGGAGCATCTTTATGGGAGGGCAGGTGAGGGTGGCTTCCAGGAGGGAAGCCCGGTGGCCAGCATCTTCTAGGCAAGTTCTGTACCACTGAAGTTCATCCCTAGCTGCTGCTGCTTCTAAATAGGAAGAGCCCTGGCTGCTTTGTGGGGAGTAGAGAAGGACGGTACCCTGCAAACACTGCTGGCCTGGCCCTCAAGTTGCTGAGCTCGGGCTCACACAGGACGCCACACTTGGGAATTCAGAATATAAATGCGAGGCTAGCACTCATTTCCTGATTAGACATGAAATGTAAATTTGTCAAAAGCGTGGACAAGAAGCAACTTTTCTGTCTGGTTGTCCAGCCGAAGAGAGAAAAGAGAATGGTGCTAATTTGGAGACAAGGAAACCTCATCTGTAGCTTGTCCTGTCATCTTCTGCAACACTCAGGGACCTGAACAGATGAGCCCCAGAACACCTGCAATCCCACAGACTCTAGGAGCTGGTGGTGTGTGGGAATGCACAAAAATAGCTGTGGGATGAAAAGCATCTGTAGATCATCTTCCCAGTATAGACTGTGAATCCAAAGTATATGGGGAGCTCTTACTTGTCCATGATAAAAAAATGAAAGATGCTGTTTAAAAATGGGCAAAGGACTGAATAGATATTTCACCAAAGAAGATAAGCAGCTGGCCATTAACTACTTAAAAACACGCTCAGTGTCGTTAGGGAAATACAAATCAAAACCACAGTGAACTGGGCAGGTGGTACACACCTGTAATCCCAGTACTTGGGAGGCTAACTCAAGAGGATTGAGAGTTCAAGACCAGCCTGGGCTATATAGTGAGACCTTGTCTTAAAGAAAATATGGGTCATCTAGAATAAGCAAATGTGTAGAGACAGAAATTATTAGTATTAAATTAATGAATATTAATTGTTGCCTACATCTTGGCTAGGGTAGAGTGGTAAGAGGTGATGGTCACAAAATATGGAGGTTTTTTTGGGGTGATGAAAACATTCTGGAATTACATAGTATAGTATGCGAATTATATCTAATTTAAAAAAAATCTCTAAAGGAAATACGCAGGGTGCCGCAGTCCCTCACCTTCTCTCTCCCCCTGCTAGTGCCTCGTTTGGGCCCCTTGCTGAGTCCTTTATGTTCTTTCTGTCACTGGCACCTCATTGTGGTGCTGTTGGGATGGAACAACTCTTGATATCATTCTACAGACCAGGAAACTGATGCTTCCAGAGATTGGGTCCTGGTTCATACAGCTTGGTGAGTTGTGGCAAAGGTGATGTGGTCGTCATGTTCTGGGACCGACCCCTGAAACTACACACAGGGCCAGGGGCTCAGTACCAGTGTCCTGGTTCATAGATGGCAGGGAGAGGTGGTAGTAGGTCCTGTTTGAATAGGCCAGGGATGCTGAAGGCTTGCTGAGGGGTAGGTGGGCTGCTGAGGCACTTCTTCCCAGACTTTCCCACCAGCTCCTCCCTGGGGTCTCAGTCCAAATCTGCTCTGGTCCCTCTAGCTGATTTCCTTTTGGTTTCAGGAG